CCCACTGAATCACTCACTAAACACCCAAAACATGTCAGAGATTTGTGTACTGGCTTTTGCAAACACAGCCAGGAATTGGAAATTCTAAATATATGCACACAAAACAGCATAAGAACATGTATGTGCTATAACTTCCTGCCTTTGTAACCTTCCTTGCCTTCCTTCTCTAGGGCTTCAAATGTCTTCACTGCAAGGATTCAAGGCCAAATTCTGACATGGCTAAGCTCCTAAAACTTTGTGACATATCAGATAGTAAAAATAAAATAAAAGAGTGATAAGATTTTTTAAGATGATGATTACCAGTAGATCAGTGATTCAGGAGAAAACACACTAAGGTAGTAATACTGATAATGGAAAAAAAATATAATCCACTGTCAGTTAATTGTACTACAGTTAGTCTGCAAGACCAAAGGCCCGTTATTTCCTCTGTTTGCTGATGATCACTTAGCAAAGATAGAGGTCTCTTACTGGGGTGGTGGGTGTGCTAACACTTACCAAGTATCTACGATTCAACAAACAACCCGACTACGTTGTTTTAGTCAAGAAATTATTTTATTCTTTAAAGCCGTGTCTATTCTGCTTAAAGAATCTGCAGGAAGTTCCAAAACGAACTGCTTTTGGATCTGTAGGATCCAAAAAGGAGCAATAACAATAAGAACAGGAATTTAACTTTCCAGTCAAGGGAAGCATTATTGTGGAATAATAATGGAACTGAAACATAGTTCCTCTGCAAGGAGAAGGCACATAAAAAATGGCAATGAAGAGACTTTTGCCTTATGAGTACATAAAATGAGCACCCCAATGCATATTCTAAATAAATGGATTAGGAACAGTTTTCAAGTCATGACATTTCACCTCTTTTTAATTACATGTGTGATCTTGATAAACTTTAGTTCATAAGAATATATAATTTACTGAGTCTTTCTGAGCTCAGCCCTTTCAGCCTCTCTGTAAATACAATTTCACCTTCATTGAAATGTCCTTAATTTGTACAACAAATTCAGAAAGAGATCTAAATATTTTATTACACGTTATTTTTCTTCATATAGTTTGTACTTATTGAACCAGCTATTACAGCAGAACATCCCCAAGCAGAAAGGTAGCATTTGCTATGCAAAACACACAGTCCGTGATTGGCATCTAAGACCAATTGATCTAGCCATTACCACTATCTCCCTACCCCCACAAGCATTACTACAAAGCTATTGATTTAAACACTGTCGATCGGTTTCCATTTTCTGATTTTGGGCAGGCCAATTAAGAAAGTGAGTAATTGTGATTACACTGCTTCAGGATCAATTACATTTGATGCAAGACAAAGTGCTCCCTTTAGAACAACGTAAAGAAAATTATTATGATCAAGTAAACTATTACTGAATATGCCTCTAACAAAAATGCAAAATAACTGACAATGTTTTCATAAAAATACATTATCAGGAAATATAAGAATATTGACACCTGTGTATGCACAATATTTGGACTACGTTTTAACAAACTTTTTCAACTTATTCTTCCTTTTAGATATAACATTTTAAAGTAGTATAAAAGAAGGTTACAGTTGAGCTCTGATACAGGCCACAAAATGACAGAATGCACAATATCTCCTAAGAAAACTGACATCAGTAGTGTATTTTTAACAGTAAAACAGCAAATTTAATTCAACAAATATTTTAACGATTTCTACACTATTTACTGAGAACTAGTCTCAAAGAGACAGGGCCCTATCAATTAGCGAAGGAACAAAGTAAGCAATTCCTATTCTTAATTTAATTTTAAACTTAGCTTGAGCTTTGTCATTGGACTCACATTGTCCAAATCATTAAAATGAATACACCACTGAGGTCTCAGGCAAATCTATTTACAGTGATGTTACTCATAGTCTGGTTGGTGTTCAGGATTATTGATCGGTCTTGTTTGTCTAATAGGAAAATAATAAACAATTACTAGGCAATGTTGGAGAAAGTAATCAGTTTTTATACATCACTAATACTGCAGACCTCCCAAAACATAAAGGTGATGATCTGCATAAAATCAATTTTTTATGCTACATTGCTTATCCTCCTCATTTCTAAGATTCTCAGCAATAAATTGTATAATTTTGAAAACAAATCATTAGTATACTAAAAATATAAATTTGAAAGAAAAATGTCAGTCCTTTTTTAAAAGAGCATTCCTGCTTGATACACTGAGCATATTTTATTCACAATAAAAACAGAATATATTTATTCATTTTGAAGCAATAATGAAATTGTATTGCCTAGAAAGGAACTTCCCTACACAAACAAGTCCTGCATCAAGCAACAGTCCAAACCCGTTCCCAAATTGTGGCAAACAGCACAAATTATAATAACGTGATGTGCATAAACTACATGCTACAGTTTACTTGCTGAAGATACTACTATCTATTAAAATGAATATGTGTGCAGAAGAAGGTTCAAGGAGGCAAAATATACATTTTCAACAGTAAAATATCCCTTCCCCTGAAACAGGAAATTTAGCTTATTTTGAAGTCACTTGAGTACATTTACATTAAAAAGCTTTTACTCCTACCTTTTATAATCTCTGATTTGTGCAAGCTGTGCTTAATAGCAGCACATTAAAATTCCTATATTATTGAAGAAAGGGGTCCAGAAATTTCTGAAAGAATGAGAGTTATCCCTAATTTAGAATGCTGCAGTGTGAATGCCTATTCAATATCCCTTTTGCTACTGGGTATAGAAAGCAGTAGTTCTTGCAAAAGTATGTCAAAAAATATTATTTTCAAATATGTGGGGGGAAAAAAAGATTCAGAGATTCACATAGTGCCTTTGCCTCGTTTCAAAGAGAATGTAAGCTAGCACATGCCTGAATTGCTTTTAAAAGGAGGAGCCACAACTATTCGTTCCTAATGTTTAGATACTGCTAGTCCTTTTCTCTGGTTTCAAATGATGGCTTTGTAACAAAGATCTCACTGGTTGAAAATTTTTTCTGCTAGTCTAGAATGCAATGGAACTCTTCAAAATATGGATCCTGAATGTGACGATAATGACCATAATAAACATAAATCAAGCATATAAGACAAAATCTAATTGGCTAGGCAGCTACTTGCTTTCATTCTCTCCAGTCAGCAAATTTTGGGGCTAGTTTCACACAGTCCTGTTACAGAAGTCACAAATAGACATAAAGCCACATGGCAAAATTGCTCGCACTATGCACTTTTTTGATTTGCAAATTCTTAGAAAGAGAATATATTTACTGGCAATATTGACTGGAATAATATTTGACTAGCAAATGTGATGCCCATCTTCAAAAAGGGATGGAAAGATGATCTTGGTAGCTATAGACTTAGTCTCACTTCAGTGCCTGGGAAGGTTATGGAACAGGTAATCTCAGGAGCCATCATGGACCAATTAAAGGTCAACCAGGGGAACAGGCCCAGTCATCATGGGTTTATGAATGGTAGGTCCTGTCTGACAAATCTGATTTTATTCTATGACAAGGTGACCCGCTTAGTGGACGAAGATAAGGGTGTCAGTGTGGTCTACCTGGACTTCAGTAAGTTCTTTGATACTGTCCCCCACTACATTCTCGTGGAGAAGCTGGCTGCCCACAGTTTGCATGGGTGTACGCTCTGCTGGATGAAACACTGGCTGGATGGCCGGGCCCAAATTGTTAAATGGAGTTAAGTCCAGTTGGTGGCCAGTCATGAGTGGTGTCCCCAAGGGCTTGGTACTGGGGCTGCTTCTATCTAATATGATCTTGATAAGGGGATTGAGTGCACCCTCAGTAAGTTCACAGATGACACCAAGCTGGGAGGGAGTGTTGATCTGCCAAAGGGAAGAAAGGCACTACAGAGGGACCCAGATAGACTGCATCAATAGGCCAAGATAAACTGTATGAGTTTCAATATGGCCAAGTGTCAGGTCCTGGATTTTGGTCACAACAACTCCAGGCAACATTAAAGGCTTGGGGAAGAGTGGCTGGAAAGCTGCCTCACCTCAAGTACTGCATTCAGTTTTGGGCACCTCAGTACAGAAAGGACACTGAGGTGCTGGAGCAAGTCCAAAGAAGGACAACAAGGCTTGGGAAGGACTTGGAGAATGTGCCTTATGAGGAGAGACTGAAGGTGCTGTTTAGTCTAGGGAAGAGGAAGCTGAGGGGAGACCTTATTGCTCTCTTCCAGTATCTGAAAGGTAATTGCTGCAAGAGCAGGGTTGGTCTCTTCTCACTGGTGACAGGTGACGGGAAATGGCCTCAAGTTGTGCCAGGGTAAGTTTAGGTTGGATATCAGGAAACACTTCTTTACAGAAAGGGTTGTTAAGCACTGGAATAGGCTCCCAGGGAAGTGGTTGAGTCACCATCCCTGGATGTGTTTAAAAACTGTTTGGATGTGGTGCTCAGGGACACGATTTAGTGGAGGGTTGTTAGGGTAGTATGGTTAGGTTGTGGTTGGGCTCTATCTTCAAGGTCTTTTCCAACCTGAGCAATTCTAAATCCTATGAATCTATATATACAACATTCCAGCAAACTAGTACTAGTCAGACCTGACTACTCCCTTCAAGGTGGTGTTATTAAAAGAAGAAATAAAAACAAAATTTGAGAAAATATGTAATTCTAACTTGGAAAAGTAGTTTATGCTTCTACCTGGTATTATTTACACCAAAAGAAAACAAGGACCTCTCAAACACGACCTATCAAAGAATTCTTGCACTTATATCCATTTTTTCAAGCCTAGATTTGAGATCGAATCTGCATGATTAAAAGCAAGAGCTAAAGGAAAAAAGAAAGATCAAAGAAAACTCGTAATTCTTGTAAAATGGAACAGCAATTATATCTTATTTTTCTAAAAACATTTTTGGTATCCAGCATGTTGACAATTGCTGTTCAATTATTTAAATATTTATTAAATAGTACAATTGACACTGCAGAATAAACTTATGTTACACTTAGGGCAAAAAAATAAGCACCACATGCTATTACTTTTATAGGAGATTTTCATTCCCACTTCCATGAGAACTTACCATAACTGGAAACTGGCAGTCTGAGTAGAATCACAGAAGTCGATACCCATTGAAACAGTCACAGATCTCTCAGGGTCAAGGCATTCTACACAGAAAAACATTTTGAACAGCTAAAGTAAGCATGCAGAAGAACACTATAATGCACATGTAACCTGCAACAATTTCACATAATTAGAAAACCTGTATTAATAAAATATTTTCCAAATGTTGGATGCACAAATGAGATAATAAGAACGGGGCATATATGTACTATGTCATGGGTGAAGTGACAAAGAATACAAGAAATTTATGTTTTAATGGGAAAAGCAACATTTTGGAAGAAATTGTAGATGATATATAACTTAATTTCTGCAAAAGAAACAGCTTCATAGGACATCTACTACCATGAAGTCACTACTGGGGAAACAAGTACTCTAAAGAGTAGGACTATGTTGTGGAACTCAATAAACCTGAAATGGATAGTGTGTTCATCCCTGAATTTTTCATGTCCTTTCCACATAACAGAAGTGAATTCTATTGACTGTTCAGTGACATTTTGATTATTTGATATGATTAGTACCATTACCATTTTCTACTTTCAGATCTTTTGTGACAAGCATCAGTGCAGTCTGGAGGATGAATGGATTGAGAGAGACATGAATAAGGACTTGTGTGTATATGCAACAATATGCCTGACTAAGCAAAACCACCACTTTCTATATTTGAAATTGGCAAAACAATATGATTTTAAAAGATAGAATACAATTACCTATTGGATTAAACTCATGCATCCTCATGCCTGGGGGTAACTTCTTCTCCCCTATATGAATATTATCTATCTTCTGATCAGTTGTATTTGTTAATGTCACTTGCACAGATACCATACGATCGCCAAAAATGCATGGCTGTCTTGAGAACTGATAATGAGCTGATAATCCTTTTCCAGTCATCCGATGAAGCATTTCATGCGTTTTTGTTGGCACAAATACTTGGGTAGTGACCTGTTAAGTACAAAACAACAGTTGGTGAACATTTCAAGAGAAGAACAGATAAAATTACAGTTAAATGCTACACTTCTCACATAGCTAGAATGCCTGCTTTCTAATCATAATTTTGGCAAACCAGACACATGAAGGGATTTACCTATTATTGCATTTTAATAGATTTGACTATCTTTAAAAGAGTCTAAAAATAACATTCATGGTGCTGAGAAATAGCAGCATTTTGTTGTACTTGCCCAATTTTTCTTCTGTATATCTTTTCAATATTTCAGCTTTTATCTATTAAATCATTGATTTTTTAAGTTACAGATAAAATAATGTTGTTTCTCTATTCTAAGCATCAAAACTCAAGACTGGCCCCAAATCTACCACAGGCCACAAAACTATAGATTCTCCTGTTGTTAAAACCCCAAAACTTTCATCTAACAGCTACACAAGTCAGATACTAAGTATACAGGTGTACAGAGCAGAGCAATGTTGTCACTTTTTTAATCATCCTCTTGCCACAGGCAATAAGAGAAATCTTAAGGACATTTGGGTTCTTTCTATCCTGAAGTAGCAGTGTGAAAGACATTTAGTGGACAAGAAAACCACAAGAGATACTGCTGCTCTGGAGATCCATAATCATGAATTCAAGAGTGCAAAAGGAAGGAATATGCACAAAGCCGCAGGAAAGTGATATGTTCTTCATACAAACTTACTTGCCTTAAGTTAAGAAATTTTATGGAAAGTAAAGCTATACAAACAGCACATTGAGGTAGAAAAGGTCAAATGCTCAACACATAAATCCTGTTTGAGCAATTCGCTGTAAGCTACTGAATTTTGGGTGTTAATTTCTATGATGAGTGTCCATTTTTTGCCTTACATTTATAGCCTTGACCGTATAACTAAGTGAAAGAGACGGCTACAAATAAAATGATGTTTCAAGATGCTAAGTAGTTATAAAAGGAAAATTGGCTTTTGTCTTGCCTTGCCTACAAAACTCTTACAGGGTGCTACGTTTTTCTTACTGCCACATTTAACACTGAGGTGCTGATCTGAAGACTTTTTGCATGTTTCCAGTAATACGAGAAGCTGGTAAGAACTGTGATTTACACCTACAAGAGAAATGGGGCAAAAAATACACATCGCTAGAGAATCCTTTTGAAAACCTTTAGAAGTTAGTGAGCGCACACAAACTTGACCATACTGTCTGAGCACCAACTTCTAAACTGGAAAGCAAGGCTATAATAGATTTCATCTTAAATCAGTATCTGTAATGATTGACCACTAAATGTTTAGAAGCATGGTCTCTGCACTGATGAAAGCTAAAGAAAGCCACACAAGGAAGTCAGTGATTGTGTATTCAGCAGTGGCTTTAGAAGGTGCATTATTTAGATGTATTACACTGAATGACAAATAATTAATGAAGTAAAAGGCAAAAAGGTTTTCCATTCACGTAAAGCCCAACCACTACATGACTATGATTAATATTAATCACTTAGTGATGTGACTGAGAAAAAAACATCTACAAAATGTCCATATCTGATTTAACTTTCCAATTTCTGATCCCTTTTCTATTACATAAAAAAACCTCTGGTATGAGTTTTCTTATATACAATTAACGGTCTTCCAGTAACCTCTAGTGTAAAGGTTAAAAGACAGTTTCAGGATCCATCAAGTTGAAGATACTCCACAACCCTAGTGTTGACTCTGTTAATAAGTTATCAAGTTATTAATAAATTTTAAGTAAATTGTCTCCATTCAGATGAAATGTGACGTGCTCAGGGACAAATTGTTTAGTTTTCCTTTGTCAGCAAAAGAAAATTAATTAATAAAACTTAAGTTTCAAAAAGATGAATTGAGATTTTATTTGAAGTTAAGCTCAGCCCTTGACTTTAAACATTTAAATCAGATTGAATTGGACACACACAAAGTTATTTCATAAAACTGCTCAGCCATTTTTCATTAACAAGCTTAAGAAATATGCTTTATTCATGTTAAAACAAGTATTTTGAAGTGTCCTACTTCTCTCTACTTACATATAGCTTTTGAAATATTACTTATTAATAGGAATGAAAGCGTAAGAAGATAATAGCCAGAAGTCCAACATGTAGATATATATTCATATAGATTGAGTAAAACTCCGTCAACAAATTCAAACTGTGACACAGAACTCAAGTTTCATCAAAACCTGATTGTGATTTTTACTCAGAGGATTTAATCTCAGCCTCTTACAGCACTGCTTCTCATACTTCATTCATAGTTTCACCCATTTGAGGAAATTCTCTTTTATTTTCAGTATCATACCATACAGACTGGAAGACGTGCAGAAGACAGCCAGAGTAATAACCCATAGGACATTAATTTCCAGTTGTATTTAATATATGTCAGTACTGGCAATAAATAAAATATGTCTTTTGAACAAAGGAATTTATTTCTGAAAAACTATTATTCTTTAGGCATTTTCTTGCTAGTGATGATTCTGAGATGACAAAGGATGATGTTACTGTATGGCACTTTACTGAACAGCTGTATCAGTCTGGTAAGCAGATTTTTTTGTTTGTTTTATTTTATAATTTCCAATGCACACAATTGCAATACTTTCAGGAACCTATATGACATGATACCTGCAATCATTCTGGGGTTAAACTAACCCCCAAAGAGTTAATAAAACAAGAAGCATCTAGTAACCATGAGATAATCCTCTACAAATCTTTCACAGCATATGTTTAAATAATAGAAGTCATTTGTGTACCTTTGGATGGTTTATGAAAATAACCAATCAATTCTGCAGACACAACATTATTTCTAAAGGAAATCTATGTGACTCATGATGCCTGCAGATACACAGAGACAAACCACACATATTTTATCAGTTTATTACAGTAAGCAAATAAGCGTGGAATGAGAGTGCACATAACTGTCTACTTAACGCTTACTGAAACATTTATAAGAGCTGTTATCTCCCTAATAACAGACAGACAGTGTGCAATTTTAGAGAGGAGAAAAGCTTCATATTTTTTAACACTTCACTAAAAAGTAACTGAAGAGTGTAAAATGAAAAATACTCTGTGCAGTTAGCTGGTAATGGACCATATTATCAACTCAAGTTAGATTTATAGGATACAAACTAGTCACTAATAGTTATTTTATGACATAGCGTGTCTGCTTTTTTTGGGTGAAGATTATTAAGATTAAACTTGCAAAACTTTTTTTTTTTTTTTTTTCTTTTAAAATATACAGCTGTAGGGACTTCACAGTGATATCATATGGTAAAATTATTGGTATGAACCAGACTGCCCCCCATGGTAACTGCAGATACTCAAAAATAATCCATAAAGATCATAAAGATCATTGCCAGTTACAAGCCAGCAAACCCTCAGCACAGGAACATGCTTTTTTTTTTTTTTTTTGCTAGTTCAATAAGTCCTTAATAATTATGCTCAAGTTACTACAAAAACTATTATTGTTTAAAGCAAAAAGCACTACAGGGTTTATTAAACCTATTACGTAAAATAGAGCTAGACAGACTTTCCTGTATGATGCATTTGTTCCTTACTTGAATAATGCTTTAATAATAAACATGAATTAAATTTTGAACCTGATTCCAAAATTTATTGATGTTTGGATAAAACATATATCATTTGGGAAAAATATTTTTTTTCTAGAAATTACAGTAATTATGTTCTATTTCTCTAAACTGCATTCCATTAAGACAGTAGACTGAATCAACTAATCTAAGCAGTCGCTCTTGCTGCCCTCCTATTGGCAATATCCACGATATAATCCAAGAATGACACACTGAGGTGTGAGAGCTGTATCCTCTCGTACACTCAATAAAGGGCTATGCTCCAGTAACTTCCAGAGAGCTAAAAGAAGAACAGTTATCTCACAACCCAGCCACATTTACATGATCTTTCAAATCAGAGGAATTGCTTAAACACAGGTTTACAGTACAAGAAGAAAGATGTAAATCCAGGTGAGCAAAGGAAAGATAACTACTGGCAGTATATGTCAGCATATTTACAATCTTTTGCTCCATTACCAGTTACATATTACTCACGGTCACATGGCAATGTCTGCCCTATACAGCTCTAACAAAGATAATAATTCTTAAAAAAAATGCAAGAAAAAAAAAAAAAAAAGCAAGAAATTCCCCTGCATTATTTCACGAGGCCATAGGAAACCCCCAAAACAAAGCATACTTAAGTCGTGTTAATATGGCTTGCCAAGCAGCATCCTCATAAAGCAAAGGGCAGGCAGAACAAACAAAAATGCAATCAAGCTCGTATTTTCTATAGTCTAGAGAAGTAACAGGATACTATGATTCCCCTTGGGTTAGTTTATATAGACCAGTAGGTTTTTGAGGACTTCATATCAAATTCATATCAAATAATATCTAAGTAAATACTTTGAATAACTATCCCCAGAAGAGTCATTCATCTGCTGTATATCTACTAAACACATTCTAAAGTCACATAGGCTATGAAGACCTTCAATTTCTAACACATTCTAACCCCCTTCTTTTTTGCACTGTCACCAACTCTTAAGCTCTACACTTCCCTAAATTTTTAACAGCAGTGAGGCTAACTGAAAATCCGCATATTAATGCTCACATTTTTTAACCAGTATTAGCCAACAATTTCAGACAATTTGAAGGTGAGTTCCAAAAATTCTTACTCAATTCCAACATTGTTTGAGTAATATTGTCTATATGGTCTATAAAAACTTGCAAGGAAATCAAAATTCAAAAATGTCTAAGTGACTCCCTCTAATCTTCTTTTACTCAGAGATCAATCTCAAACAGAAGGTTTTTATCGTAAATCTCATAGTCTGCTTCTGTAAGGCTGCCAAAATTCACCCTTTCTTCTGTTGCATTTTTTTTTTTAGCTCCAATATTTATGCGGTCTTAACCACATAAAAGTGGTAAGTTCAATTTGTGAATCTTCTGTAATATTAAATAGTCTCATTTTTCTTATAATTTTATGTCCCTTAGATTTTTCATTGGTTCCCTTAAA